GCTGCCCAAAGGACATCTGAGTGGGCTGCCTAGCCATTTGGACAATGAACTACCTCATTGGACAAATCTCCAAAATTGATTGCGAGGCAAATTATACCTATCAACAACCTCATCAAAGTTAAGATACTTTTTAGTTTTGATATCAAACAAATGGAATACACAGGAAATTCCCAACTTCTGCCACTGTGGCCAGTTAACTGATTTCCCCCCAATAAGATTTTTTTATTATTCAATAAAGGAGTTAGTGATGATTTAATAAAATCCCAGAGACCTGCTCTGTTTAATTTATTCCAAATGAATTTGGCTACTGTAATAATGGGATGATCACTGTGCATTCTTGTTTTGACATCAAATAAAACTAACCATAGAGATTCAGCTCCATTCACATCCAGCAGAAACCTGGAAATTTTATCAGAGGGCTGTGTGACTAAACTAATTTAGTCTTCTGTGATTTAGTCAACTTTCTTTAGATATTAATCTATTAAGCGTCTATACTACAAAGTAGAAAAAGTAATAGAAAATTTAGATAAACCTTCCTTTATCAGCTGAAGTATACCAGCTTTTTTATTTCAAATACAAGAGACAAAGAAAAGTAGTTTTCTCCAGTGTGCAACTTGCGGCTTCATGACAGCAGCTCTGCTGCACTGTCAGTGAAGCTTACTGATCTGTCAACACACACAAGATAAAACAATTGATGCTATTATGTTGTAAACACTGCTTATTCATAACACAGAAAAGCCAAGTGTTTTATTTTCTTTCCCTGGTTGGTTACTACTCAGATGTGAAGCTGTCAGAAATGTGCAAGTTTCATTTACTTACCATCAGTGTGATGATGAAGAGAGGACAATGGGAACACATACTGTACTTTGGTTCTGAACAGTCTGAGCGAAAACTTTACATTAGAAAGCTTAAATCTTGATTCATATCATAACACTATATCTGTATGCACTACGTTGTTTTCTTTCTGCAATATTTATTTTCTACTCTGTATGACCTAGAAACACACATTTTCAACTTACTCAGCTGGGAGAAAAAGGCTTCTTAATACAAATAAAACCAAAACAGAAGAAACATGCTATAATGGATGTGAAAAAGCTAAACAGTTCTTGTTCCTTTGTTACAATTGTTGTAATAAAAATATCTAGTTCTAGTGAATAAGTTAACATATGGTCAATATTCAGTTGGGTTCCCCATACCATTCGGTCCATCTGTATCTGGAAGTCCCACAGGATCTTGGCTCGGTCATTCTATACCATCTTTGGAGGTGTTTCCAACTTTGACCTTTGTATTTTCAGCCCATACTTTGCACAGATGTTCCTGTACACTATTCCAGCCACTTGGTTATGGCCCTCCATGTAAGCTTTCCCTGCCAGCATCTTACACCCTGCAGTTATGTGCTGGATTGTCTCAGGGGCATCTTTACACAGTTTGCACCTGGGGTCTTGTCTGGTGTGGTAGATCTGGGCCTCTATTGCTCTGGTGCTCAGGGCCTGCTCCTGAACAGCCATGATGAGTGCCTCTATGTTGTCCTTCAGTCTGGCTTTGTCTTGCCATTGGTAGGATTTTCTGATATCTGCAACTTTGGTTATGTTTTGGTAGTACATCTCGTGTAGGGCTTATCTTCCCATGACGGAAACCGCCAGCACCATATCTTCTGTTCCCCATTGTCTGAGATATTCACTAAGCATGTCGCTTGTTGGTGCTGTGTCCTTGATGTACTTGTGGATCTTGGATGTTTCATCCTGGATAGTAGCTCTCCTGCTCACAAGTCCTCAGCCTCCTTCCTTACGGCTACAGTGTAAAGGTGCTGGATTTGTGGTGGTTCCTTCTGTGCATGTTTAGGAGCTTTCATATCTTAACATCTGTGGCCTGTATCTCATCCTTTGATCAGCTTATTATTCCTGCAGGGTATTTGATTACTGGTAGAATGTTGCTATTTATTGCCTGAGACCTATTCCTGCCATTTAGCTGGCTTCTTAGGACCTGCCTTACATGTTGGAGGTATTTGGCCGTAGCCACTTTCCTTGTCACGGCTTCAAGGTTGCCATTTGCTTGTGAGATTTCGTGGTACTTGTAATTTTCTAATTTCTAATTCTGTCTTCTGGGAGTGAGACCCAGTGGACTACCTTCCCTCTCTTAGTCACTATCTGACCACACTTCTCTAGTCCGAATGACATCCCGATGCCTGTGCTGTAGATCCGGGTGGTATGGATCCGTGAGCTTGATGTCATCCATGTAGAGGAGGTGACTGATGGTTTCCCCGTTCCTGAGTCTGTATCCGTAGCCTTGTTGATTATTTGGCTGAGGGGGTTCAGACCTATGCAGAACAGCAGTGGGTGCAGCGCATCTTCTTGGTATTTGCCACAGTTGATGGAGACTTATGCAAGTTTCTTGCCATTGGCCTCAAGGTTGATTTTCCACAACCTCATTGAGTTTGTAATGAAGGCTCTTAGTGTCCTGTTGATGCTTTATACCTCCAAGCATTCAATGATCCAAGTGTGTAGCATTGAGTCATAGGCTTTCTTGTAATTAATCCAGGCAGTTCTCAAGTGTTTTCGGGTTCTGCAGTCTCCAACAACTGTTCTGTCTACCAGGAGCTGATGTTTGGCACCTCTGGTATTTTCAGCAATTCCCCTCTGAGCTGTGCTCAAGTATTGATCCATGTGCCCGCTTATCTTAGCCGCTATGATCCCAGAAATGAGTTTTCATGTTGTGGAGAGACAGGTAGCTGGATGGGACTGTACCCTTTGATGGATCCTTTAGGATCAAGATTGTGCACCCATCGGTTCTCCTTTCAGGGTGGTTTCCATCTCTCTGAAGCTGGTTCATTTGTTCTACCAAGAGTTCATGGAGTGCCGTGAGTTTCTTAAGCTAGTAGGCTTGTATTATGTCGGGGTCTGGTGCTGTCCAGTTTTTCATACCTGAGACACTTCTTGGTTGTCTGTCACTGTGATGGTGACTGATTCCTTTTCCGGAAGGTTGTTGAGGTTATGGGAAATTATGGGAAGTATTATTTTCCTATTTCTCGCAGTAGTATTAAATCAAATATTAATACTTAACTTTGACCTCGTTAAACTGCTCTTCCACTAAAACCTAAAAATGGCTGTAAGAGTTCATCTTACAGCCATTCATGCTGGAAAGAAAATACATAATTTTTATTGCATTAAATCAAATATTGTTTCTTGACTTGCTTATGTTACCTTGGCATTTATTCCAGTATAACTCTGACAAATGTTGTTGTATAGTTGGAGGCAAACACAGCCACAACAACTTCAAGCAGGCATAAATATTAATTTAACAGTCAATAAAACCCAGTGTGGAAGAACTGCAGCTAATGTAATGTAGAGGCAAACTGGCATTACACAATGGCAGTGAATGTGGTAACAACGAATGCTAAAACGGTAGCAGTTGCTACCTCGACAACAGTTGACAACAGTTTACTGAATGTGGAGCAGGTGTGGGAGATCACAAATTTAACCCCTCGTTCACACAGACTCCCTCATCCTGCTTCTTATTTTAGTTGATTTATTTTCCACCATCTCTGTGGTGTTTCAGCAACACATACAGCTCTCTTCCGTCGTCTTTCAGAAACAGGAATAGAGTCTACTTTAACAGCTGATGAAGAAAAACTTGTCAATTTCATAAAACGAAAAACCAAGCAAGAAAGGAAGATTAAAACAGAAGCAATACATTTCAAAATAAGATAACAGGTTGTGTGGATGGACGGCTGAAGAGATCCCACATGCATCTAGTGCCGATTTCCACAACACATTTTGTAACCACTGATGAAGCAGATAAATGTAACCAATGGAGCCAAGTGTGGAAATGATAAGTCATCAGTAAGTGCAATGAAAACACCCAAATTAGGCATAGAGCAAATTGAACATGACTAAACACCAACGAGATGAGAAATCCAAGAAAACAATTTGGAATCAGGTTTAACATGAAATAAGATTATCAAAATAAAACAGGAACTACAGCTCATAAATGTATAGAAATTAAACTAAAGGTCAGAATAAAATCACAAAATTGAAACAAAATCACTAAGCTAAAAATAACAAGAAAGATATTTTCTTGCCGAAATAGTAAGAGAAAGATACATCTTGTCTAGTTACCCTATGTCTCCTTCTCTGTGACAATCCTTGCAATGTAACCTAGAACATACTGACAAACTCCATGACGCGATGATCCCTCTAAATACTTGGAAGTTTCATGAAAGAAGATCAAAAAGGCTTTAGGGAAAATCGAACACAAAAAGACACATATTGAGAGCCAGGGTATTAGATACTTGTCTTTCATTTATCTGAAATCCAATTCTTTTTACATGAGTCTGAGCTGCCCTTGTGAGTGACTCATTGTTTGCAGTATACATTACCCTCTGTTTCTCAACTCTGACCCAGGCTCACAATAATACCCATGCATATTTCATAGAGTGCCAATGACAGCGAGGGCGCATATCTGTTACTGACCCGATTGCTGCAGACTCCTCTGCCGCAGCATGAGAAGAAAGATTATGGGAAGGGAGCAGAGAGGTGTGACACACAATGTGGATTAAATGTTATCTGAAGAAGTTCAGAGAGGCAAAGGTAACTGACTGCAGAAACATGTGCAAGTTGAAGATGATAAATACGCAGAATAAGAGAAGATATCGTTGGATTTAGGATGCACTGCAGTAAGCGGGAGCCCCCGGAGTCCTGTCGCCTATGCCACACAGATGATGAATTTCTTTTGCTCTCTTGGACTCTAGTTGGTTTATTAGGTAAAGACAAAGCATGGATGGATGATCTTTTGCATAAAAATGAAGCATTTGAGTTAAGGTAAACAAATCTTTACACTGCTTTAAAAAGGACACCAATATTACATTTTAAAAGAGTTTCATGCATAAGATTATGTGTTTTTTTCAGTTTGTCAGAATTCTTTTAGGGCGTTGCTTATTTCTAAATAACACAAAAGTCAATCCTTACACTAATCCTGAATTTTTCTCTCCTGCAGGCCTTTTTGCCATTTGAATATTGCTAAAATTCACCAGCAATAAAAACTTTTTATTTTAGTAATATCCCTTCATCTGAGGCCACATGTTTTATGCTTTCTAATTATGGATTTGCATACCCAGTCAGACCAAATAACTTTGAACCATACACAACTGCAATGGACATCAACATCTTTTCAAAGTGCAGATGAAGTGTTGAGCGTTTCGTCTCTGGTCCCTTCCACAGTCCTCACACTAATACCCAACTGTAACAACATTACTACTGGAAACCCATACTCTGCATTTCCATCTTCTTTCAACGTAACAGAAGAGAAGAAATATCCTGAAACATTTAGTTCAGAATTTTTAGAAACTTACAATCAGGAAACCACACCTACTCCTAATGGCTCTAATCCTGCAGAGGTTGAGCAGAGAAAGCCCTCAGATGGACAGCCGCTGGAGGACAAATCCATAATTTTAATGTTGCCCAAGGAGGAACATCATGAGGAAACAGGTATGCTAGCAACTCTGGTATGGTCTAGGATTTAGAAAGCACTTCAAGTGCTAAGGCCTTTTATAAGTAAAATATAAAATGTGAGATTTTGAAAAGCCTTTAATTTGTCTGAATCATAATGACTAGAAGGAGCTAAAGGTTTGCAGATGTTCATGAATAACATAAAAAAACAAAACAAATAAGAGAAGTCACTTCTACAATGTGGCAAACAGAATAATACCTATGCTGCATATGGGTATATTACACTTAAAATGGTTAGTTTGTATACAAGGATACTACCAAAAAAATCTGTGTAATAAAGGGGAATGGCTTTCAAAAATAAGAAAAACACCATTGTACATTGGATGTAGATTTTATTTGGACATATGTTCTGAACAAATTTATATATATAAAGCAGAATGGCTACAACAGTCTTACTGGTATTGATTCACTGTTTTGTAGAAGTCTGTCAATGAAAGCCTGAAGGCCTCTTCTGCAAAAGTTAAAAGTTTTACTGTAAATTTAATGCAGCAAACTAAACTCGCTTCACCATTATTCTTCACTATTGAAGTCTTAAATATTGACCATACTTAAAGATTATTGCGGTTGTGTGCTACCCTGATATTTCTCAGAAAACAGTCCTTAGTTCTTGAAGAGTTTTTAGATCAATTTTCACTCTAGTTTTATTTTCCTATTGGGATTATGTCTAAATGTAGTAGTAGGCACTGGAATTTAAGTTCTCAAATGTGTCCTTGAATGATATAAGGTGATTTCCAGGGATAAGGTCACTCTAATAAGAATGGCAGCATGGGATAGAGAAAGGGTGTCTCATTTATATAAAGCTGTTGAACTTCAAGTGACCTTCCCCCTGTCATTCATTGACTAAACAAAATAAAATAAATGAAAGCTAAAAGGCTTTTTTGCCATGTACTGAAAAAAATAATGTAACCACTTTTAGCATTTACTTCATATTTAGTTACTTTAACACAATTGTTTTATGTCCTACCCTGCTAACATGAAACAATTGTGTTTAAGTAACTAAATGTTATTAAGTAAATGCCAAAAACGGTTGCATTATTTTTTTCAGGTTGTTGCAGGTGTAGTGAAGTTAACGCCTCTTTAAGTTTTGTAGGAAAACCTCACAATAATTTATCCGACTCTCAAGAACTGGAAAAAAAAAATTCATGTCATGCTGTACAGTGGATGTCTATGTTTGTTAACATGTAAAAAGTGGCTAAACTGTTAAATATAAATGGGAGAAAAATTATAATATTAGATGAAATCAGAAGTATCACTGATGGAGCTGAAACTACCCTTTTTAAAGACTTGATGATGCTGAAGTAGCCTAATAAAAAAGAATTTGACATCCCTGGTCTAAACTCCTACAGTTGAAGAGAACAGGCCATCCCCTCCATGGAAAAGGTTTCTTGTAACTAACTATATGATCCTGTGAGATTATGACTAATAAATAGGGTGTTATTTGGGGAATTTTTTTAAATAAAAAAATCTGCCTGGTTTTTCACACACATTAGCACTTGTTCATGTATGAAACACATTAAATAATCACAGCTAAACAGTGTAATGTTCATGAAAATTACAAAAACTCAAGAGAAAAACATCCAAATTTAGATGTTACTCATTTTTAACACCTCAATTAACTATGTGGTTTACCATGCATTTGCAGAACTTGTTGACTTGCAAGACAGACCCATTAACTAAACCATATACGAAGGGATTTAAAATGATTTTCTATCAATAACATTTTTGTAAACCGTAATTTTTTTGTATCATTTGTCTTACCTTCTCTTCTGTAACACAACTCAAGGTAAATACCGGTAGTAGAATATAAAGCTTTTAGTTTATTCCCAAGGAAAACAACTCAGAATACTATTTAAGGAAATTAAACTTTACTTAACTTCCAGTATTTATGACCCCCCCCCCCCCTTTTAATTTATAGCTTTCTTAAAAAAAGCAACCAGAAATCCAAAGTGCCTTACAATGTCAGATTTTTAAACAAGCTAAAGCAGATGAAACATACAAATTCTTTTATAAATGAATAAAAGTTGGTGATCTGTTATGTCACAGTGCTACAGAGTATTAAACGCCTCCCTGATTAAAAAGGTTTTGTTTGTATTTAAGACCCATGTCAGTGATTGATGGTAGATAGAAGGGGAACTTTGTATACCTGAGACTAAGAAGGTCCACTAACTGAAAATATTTATTTAGTTCTCACATTCATAGAGATCCGGGACGATGGTGTCATAGTTTAACACACACAGACAAACATGATTAATGAGAAATAGTCTTTTAACTTCAAAAATTTCTAAAATGTTCGACAGCTGTTGGAAGAAGGATATAACAGGGAAGACCTGCTTGTTTCTGAAGGTTTCAATTAAAACACCTGCAGCTACAATTAGGACCAATGAAGACCCTTTATTGGACAACTGAGAGTGTTGAATGGTGGAGGTAATCACTGCTTGAGCTGATAAAAAAGTTGGGTAAAACAGTTTCAAGATCAGATTTAGCATGTATTAAAAAGTGTAAACTTTAAATTTCATCTTTAAAAGAGGAATGTTGTTAGAGTTGTGTTGACTAGAGGCAACTTGTGTGCTAAATTTAAAATCCTTGTCAAAAACAAAACACCCCCAGTTCTGTTAAAGTGTCACCGAGTCAAAAATTCACAACGTTTACGTCAATAGTGACATTCTCACCAAACAAAACACATCTGGTCTTTTGTTCATTTAGAAACAACCCAACTGTTCAAAATAAAAAAAAATAAAATAAAATAAACTGTCAGTTTGTCTGTCAACAGACTTTCATTAGAGACCTGAGAGAGATTATATATTAAAGAAGTGCTTATCTGCCTTAGGTCTCTGTCACTCAAGCATAAGTCTGACTTTAAGATGTTTTTAGCCCTAATCGATTGTATGCAGCTCATGTTTTACTTGATATTAAAGACATGTTCTGTATTCACTGCATAAACGTTGTGTTGGCTCAGCCTTGCGATGAGCAAACTATTTCGTCAAAGAGCCTAAGGAAGCTTAATCATAATTAGCAGACTGACCAGCTGGGTCACTTGATTTAAAAAATGACTTGCATTACATTTGCATTACAAATTCATTTATATTTTCTCTCTAGACTTGTTCAAAGTCAAAATTGGTGATAGTGTTTTTCACTTTCATTTTTAAGAGTATATGTATGATAAATATAATTTGTTTGCATTCATCAAACTCAATGCATTTTTTTCAGCTATTAGACCAGGGAAGAAACCAACTGAATATTAATTCACAAAGCTCTATTTAAATGGAGGCATTGGATACCATATATATTTAAGTGTTAATTATGAACAAAAGAATATTTCAGATGAAAAATGCCACCAGTTACCCTTAGTTTGCAAAACCTAGTTGCTTTATCATGAAGTGCATTTTACAACAAAGATTTAACGACACTGTGTCTGGTTTTGTATAATTCAAATACATCAATTACTTTGAAAATTTTATTGCAAAAGAAAAGCATTAAAAAAAATACTGAAAAAACCCTCAGATTTTGGTTTAGTTATGCAAGAGATTGTACAGTCAGACAAAATGGGAAAAGCATTGCATCATAAAAACAGTTAATTTTACAAACCTATAATTAATCTGGTTTATTCATGTTTTAGTTGTTTCTAATCTCAAAGAAATTATCAACTTTTTCTGATGTTGTGTAACTTGGAAACACCTTTTCTCACTCAGTCCTGTTTGGGTTTGCAGTTTGTTTTTGCAGTTATGCTATGCTTTTTCAGCATATCAAGTAGTTTGTATGTCTTCCTTTAAGTTACATAACATTACAAAATCCATCATGTTTAATTAAGAAATGGCCTTTTTTTTAACCAACTTATAGAATTGTATCCCTAAAATGTGCTAAACTGAAACTAAATTTGCCCCCAAAGAGTAGCAAGAGTAAAATATTCAGATTCAGTAACTCATGAGGTCAGAATATAAATCTGTACTTATGAAATACTGTAAAATCAAAGGAAGAGAATGCTTTTGTCACAAACTGGTTAAACTAAAACTATTTACCAGTAACTGATGAGAAATAGTACTTTTCTTCACATTTCCAGGATTTTTGTAATGTTCGCTGAGTCGATTAGAAGTCATTGAGTGTTGTTTCCCTTTGATTCTTTCTCATTACAAAAGCCTTCTGTTCACCTTTATCAGAGCCAGCTAGAGAGCAAAGTAAATTGCTCGGCTCAGATGACAGCTTGTTTTGCTGAGAAGAAAATTGTACCCCATTGTCTACCTTACTAAGGCTGAAAAAGCTTTGCTTGTGTTTGCCTCTGAGCAGTTGACAGAGTGTAACACCAGACTCCCTGAGGATTATGTGACCTAAATAACAACTTAAAGTCAGAGCAGAGTTATCTACTGTATAGTTTACTTTAGTTTTGAAAATATGACTCCAAATCTGTTTTTTTAACCATTTTTACTTTATTTGTTTACTTTGCAAAAAAAAAAAAAAAAATACACTAGTGTTTGACAGGCCACATGTAATCCAAAAAAACAAAGAAAACTTTTTTTTAAATATATGTTATTTTTTAGCATCAGGCAGATTATTACCAAGTTTGCATTAATAATGAAATTATCCTCTTTTTTCATGCATATGTAAGCACAACATTTTAGATGGAAAAGACCCTGCATCTCATCCAAGAGCATCTATTGCTACAATACAGGGTTTCTCTTTCCATTTCCATTATCGTAAATTGTTTTGAATGGAAAACTATGATCAATAAATAATGTGCTTGTCTCATAAACGGCAAGCTGTGCAAATTAAAACAGGCTGGGATTTTCTTATTTAATAGGAAAACCCCACAACAAGAATTTAAGGTTGGGTTTATCAAAAGATCATTTCTAATCATTCAAATTATTAGTGCATGCTTAGGGTTGATTATAGAAATTAGCTCAAATAACTTTCCACATAATATAATATAATATAATATAAGAATAAGAAAAAATGACACAGAATGGGTAAAATTTTGAAGCAGAACCCTGAATGTTAAACTTAAAACTCACTGACAGGTTACTAGAGCGTCAGATAGCCTTGCATACTTCTGTCTATTAGGCGGCACTGTTAACCGGGCATAGAATGATGAAACACTCAAGCAATCCCAACTCCATAGAAATACTTTAGTCATGTCATATAATAGACCACAAACCTTATACTTTCCTGAGTCCTTCTAACTTTATTAGTCATGCTCTACAAGGACTTCATGCAATGCTTGATAGGGTCCCAGCAGCAGTGGAGCTAATCTGTGACTCAAAGCGAATACTGAATAGCCAAAAAAGAAATTGGATGCTAGAAGATGTAGGATTTAGACTTTCCAGCCTCGTTTCCTTTAAAATTGAATCTTTCAACTATCTGCATTGCTTTTGTTGTTTGTATTTTGTTTGCAGATGGAAACTGTCACGCACTTACATCTCGTGAACTGCTTGCAATAGTGGGAATCCCACTTGGTATTAAATTGGTCATCATTTCTGCTCTCCTAGGTATGTGATAGAATTAGAGAATTATTTCTAGCAAGTTTTAGGCAAACTGTAAATGAATTGTAACTCAAGCACATTAGCTAGATGTTACAGATCATACATGGTAGAACATCATATAAAGGTATGTTTCTGTGTAAGGGTTAAAAATGCAACTACTCTCAAATTATTATGCCACAAAGTAATCCAGATTAAATGAAACAAACTGGCTGTTATTTAACCCCCATCTTCACGTACCCTTAATAATTCATTCTCGACCATTTGGGATGGAATGTCAGTGCCAGGATTCATTTAGCTCAAATTGCAAAAGAGCAGCTCAGGGAGGATGAGATGGCGATTTTACAGGATGACCGGTCACTAGCCAGGAGCTTGACCTGATGGGAGTTACAAATAAATAAAAGAATACTTTTACATAGTGGTGTGATGTTGGTCATGAAATTGTTGAATATATTATTGGTTTCACATGGTAGTATAGAGGTGCATACATACATATATTCATATACATAAATTAGAATATCACTAGAAAGTTCAATTATTTCCATAACTGTAAAAAATGTGAAATTGTTATATGTAGAGGATAGTAAATATACTCATTAAATATTTTGTGTTACGTCTCAAGCATAATTTTTTGCATAGTTTCCTAATTATGGTTTATCTTAGAAAATTCAAATATAGGATAGAAGTAAGAAAAACATTTAAAAACACAAATGTTATGTTATCGATATGCAATGGCCCACAAAATCCTGGACAAGTTGGCTGACTTGAAAGTTGTCAAGCAAGTATTCAATGAGACCCTCAACAAGGACAATAACCCACAAAATATGATTGTGATTAAAAAAAGAGGGGTTCACAGAGTTCTATTTAGAGGAATATTAAAGGAAAGTGGGAGGAAAAAGTGGAGGATGAGCAGAAAGGCCTAGATTTCAGCAGGTCAGAGTGTATAAAGTGTGCAGCAAATGGGCAAAGTTTTTACTAGAGTAACATTTCTGAGCTAAAATCATTAGTTTTCAAGTGCCATGTAGTCATTCCATCATGAAATTCAAATACAGACCAAACATCTGATTTACTTAATGATATGGATTTATTCCATAGTGCATCCGTGCTTCACTGTCAGTTTAAAATAACTTATTCTGTCATCTTACTGCTTTTCTTGTCTCTTCTTATCAGTCAAGTTCCTGGCATTCCCATCTGAGACAGATGAATCACCTCCTTCCTGTGATGCAGGAGGGAGCTGTGGTGTCCCAAGTCAAGTGCCCTTTCTGTCTAAGAACCCAGCCAACCAGACAGGAAACATCACTGCAGGTAAAGAAAGATAAAGTCACTGAAAGATAAAAGCATGCAGAGTATCCATTCTGTGCTTACCAGTCTTAGATGGAGAACTATAATTATGTTCCACGTTTTTTAATGACTAACAATTTCTTAACCTTCGTTGACAGGTAAATGTTTACATGGGTTTTTGTTGGAGTGTGTTTTGATAGCTCCTGCATAACTTTTTACTGTCATCTCAAATCCAGGCTGCCAGGTTGCGGTCAGTGACCGGCAACGCATTGTGGGTGGGACCCTGGCGTCGGAAAGTAATTGGGGTTGGCAGGTCAGCATGCACTGGAGGGGGAAACACGTCTGTGGAGGTGCCATCATCTCTCCCCACTGGGTCATCACTGCAGCTCACTGCTTTGTTGAGTAAGAGGTAGACTTATGAGGAGAACATAAATATACAGACCAAAAGCGTAGTTCAGTCAGGAAGTCGTTTTCATTAATCTTGCTTTTGGTAAAAGGTTGTTGATCAATCTGAGTATGTTAACATAAAATACAACCTAGAACCAGGCAGATGGTGCTCTGTCTGCTGGGACTCTCCAAACAGCCCCTTGAATGTTTAATTGGGATTCTGAGCACTCGCTGCAGATATTTTGAGCTCCACTTCAGAAAAAAAGCTGCTTATTAAATGCTTTGCAGAGCTGTGGCGAAAATTAGGCGTTAATCACAACACTGGGTGACCAAATAAAATATGACTGTAATTGTAGTGTTATTGCAATTGCACTTAATGAATCAACATATGTATTCATTTGATTATTTTACCATTCTTATTCTATTATTTTAGCCACCAAAAATGTGTGTAAACCGGCAAATCAAGCAGTGCATAGAATGGTTGAAATCCCACATATGTACAGGATATATAGTAAAGTTTAAAACAGAAGGCAGTCAATTATACATGGTTCTGGGTTTGTTATTTCATTGCTAAGTTGCAGAGAGAGTTACAATCTAAGTTTTTTATTTGTAAATTAAAAAAGAAGTTCCAAAAAACTTATACCAAATTTATGGCAGGAGGCCCTATATGTATTTAAGATTGGTACAGACTGGCTGAGCAGACAGCGCCCTCTGCTGTCCAATCAAGGGTACTACCCACACCTCACAGATATTTATCACCAGTGTGACATTTGTGTCAAAAGTGAAAATAAAGGATAACTTCTAAAGTTGAATTTGTGACTCACAGCAGCAGATTCATGTAGTTGTATTCATTGATTTACATATACTTTTTTTTTTTTTTTTTTAAGATTTTAATACACATATTTGGAATTTGTTTTGCACCATTTGTTTTAGATCAACTGCAGCAAAACTGAATGAAAGAAATGTTTGATATGCAACTCACAGAACACAATTTGTTCACTTGTACTCAAGAATTTGAAAAGGTGAATTTTTTTATTTTTAATTGTGACAAATTTAAAAAAATCTACCGTTACAAAACACAGTAATTACAGTAGCTTTGCAACAATAGCTCTGGACCATTTGAAGCAATACTGAGAATGTCAGAGGTTTTTAATGTGCAAATTGTAGAACAGAGTTTGTGTACTTCTAGTTCAAAATTGAACAGGTGTAAAAATATTTGTACTTGTGATTTTTTTTATTCTTAAAATACAAAACTTAGAATGTAACTCTCTCTACAACTTCAACTTCACACTTAAAATGCACAAACAGTTTTAAAACAAAGAACCTTCATATGTGTGATTGTTTTTTGTTTTTTTAAGGCACAATACATAATGCAGAATCTGACCAATATTTGAGTATGTGTCCGGAATTATCCCAGCTCTTTGGTGATTACTAGGCAAACTGCATATTTTCTCTCTAACCTTAAAGCTTTGCTCAGCTGTCAGGAGGGGTGTTTTTATTGTTTATATAAGCACCGCCATTAAAAGCTCTATTAAAATATTTGCCTGCATAATAATTTTGTACTTAAAATAAAATCCCCCCCAACATTACACTCATTTCTTATGAAAAAGCAAGTCTGTGCAAATATTCTAAAGTGTTATGAGATGATTTTGCCACATTAAATTGTTCCTATTTGCTACTCTGAATAACAAAATAAGGTAAAATATCATTAACATGGTGAGAACAGCACTATCAATTACATCCATAAATCCTTTAAACAAAACTTGAGGTGAGCCCATTAAACGAACTCCTCTACTTGTGTGCAGGAACAACATGTTTGAAGCATCAGACTGGTTGGTGGTGGTGGGTACAGTGAGCATCGCAAACAACTCCCCTGGGAAACGCCACCGAGCCCTGCAGATTCACCACCACCCTCAGTTTAACAAGCAAAACAACGACTATGATGTGGGATTGCTGCGCACCATCACAGCCATGGACATGACTGGTAAGAAAGAAATGGCGCTCTATATTGACAACTGAGAACTTATCACAGTCTTAAAATTAAAAGAGGAAAAAGGGAAATGAATACATCCCTGGGGTGTTTATTAACGTAACTGTCAGCTGGTTTAGTGTCCTTAGGTCTGAAGTCTGTAACTTGGCTTATCATAAGCATACTGTAACACTCAGCCAGAATAATACTACAAATTAATAAATAAGAAGAGAAAAGACAAAACAGTATATTGAACTGAATTGTATCTTGCAGCAATTTAATCTGATATAAGTGGGGGTATTTCTACGCTTTTTATTCTTTATGGATAATAGAAAGTCACTAATAAATTCAAGCCTGGGCGCCCATTCCTTAGTTGTTAAAATGATTAATTGTTCATCCCTTAATATAATTTCATCTAGGATAAATTTGTGAAAGGATGCATCATTTAAATAAATTATACTGAAAGCAAAGTTTGAATGTCTAAAACTGTACATCTGCATGTAATTTTAAGATTTGGGTGAAATCTTGGGAATTTGTTATGTCATAAAATGACATAAAACAAATTCCCACTTAATTTTTTAAAGCTAATTTTAAACCAAACCTATTCAACACACCTGACATATTGCATATTAATTTGTATAATAAAGATTACTTTTTATATGTCTTATCATAAAGTTGTGTATTTGTGTATATTAATGAAGTGTTGTATACTTACTCTACTAGCAAGTGTATTGATTTCAAATAAATAATCTAAATTAAAGTAATGAATATGCATCCTGAAAGTTTTATTTAATATGTTAGTGTCAAGAAGAGTATTGAAAAAAAGAGCAAATATTTTATTATTTTATGTGATAATTTTAATATTTGGATGAAATATGTTTGAGTGCATTTTTTACCTGAACAGGTATAACACAATTAAATTACTTAAACTGTTTTTTTTTAACTTAAATTTAAAAATGTTCAGCTTGAAAAAAAAAACCCATTTAATTCAAAACAAGAATCTGCTTTAACAAAACATTAGGAAGTATGTTAAGAAATAAAATAGGCTAACTGGTTTCTTCTAACAAAAGATGCCTTTGGGACCTTTAAACTGAGACCTTTATCATTTTACTGCTTAGATTACCTGTTATAAAATGTTGCAATACGATATTTTTGACCTGTTTTTTTACAGGTGGGGTGCGGCCAGTGTGTTTACCAAGACCAGATGAGACTTTTGTCCCTGGGACGCCCTGCTGGATCACAGGCTGGGGATTTACCCACGAAGGAGGTGAACTACAAGGAAAACATTTTCCCTAATGGCCCCTTAGCCACAAAACTCAATCACTGTGGTGATGAAATGAACAAAAAGCTATAGATGAAGCTAAACTTAAACTTGCCAAAATGTGTTTAAAATAATCTCAAAAACACTTTTAGGAGTTATCTCTTTGAGATTTGTTGTTTGTGTTGTTTCTTATGTCTAAGGGTTTGTATCAGAAGATCTACGACAGGCTCAGGTGAAGGTAATAGCTAGGTCCGTCTGCTCCAGCCTGCCTGTCTATGGGGCCTTCATTACTCCGCGCATGATTTGTGCTGGTAGCCTCCCTGGGGGAGTGGATTCTTGCCAGGTGACACAATTCACTTTATTTCAGAATACATATACGGTGCCATTTCACAACAAATATTTCAAAACCACTGTAACCATTAGGGGGCCTGAGAAACCATCTAAATAAATAGTTGTTTTTGGCTATGATTTTCAGAAACAAATTCTCAAAGCCTGATCTAAACATTCTGTCCTGTTTGGTTTGCATTAGGGGGACAGTGGAGGACCCCTGGTGTGTGAGACTCCTAATGGGGACTGGAGGCTGGCAGGGGTGGTAAGCTGGGGAGAAGGCTGTGCTCGGCCCAATAAACCAGGCGTCTACAGCAGAGTCACTCACCTGCTCCAGTGGGTTGAGAGAGTCACAGAGGTAAATAACTTACTGTCTAAAAAACAGCTTGTTCTTATCTGCCTCACTGACTTTAAAAATAATACTTAGAGTTTAATTATTGAAGAAACGCTAAATATTTAAGACATGGATTCAATAGTTGTGCAAAAAATCATGTAAAGATAAGTAAATATTTCTTGAAATAAACATATAAGCCCTTCATTTGAGCCTGTAAGATAAATGATCTACCAATAAAACTTCTATTTTGGCCCCTAAATAAGAAAATTATATGTTCTTTATTAAAATAAGATTATTGTTGTTTTTTTTTTATTGTTTATTTTAGTGTAAAATTTTTATGCTGGCATTTAATTTTTCTTACCAACTTAAATCAAGTGCAATTACACCTATTTCAAGAAAATATGATTTTTTTTTATAGACGTTTTGCAGGTAAAAGAAATGTGTTTTCTTAAACTTATAGGCAGACAATAATCATACAACACAAAAGACATATGAAATTGTCTGTTATCAAGACTCTTAAAAGGGCGGGCCTTTAGGGTAAGCCATAATAAATCACTCATAACTGTTAGGTTGTTAAAACCGCCCTAACGTTTTATTTTGGTTCTTAAATAATTCAGTACCTGTTTTGCATTAAAGAGGATTGAATAAAATAGGTAAAAACATAAGAGATAAATGTTTTTGTTTTATAGCACTGATAAGGCATACCATACATAGAGCATTCCCATTAACAGATTCATTATCCTTTAGTTTTTAACCCATTGCACACATTTTAAATAATCAACATACATTTAATGCTAATGCTACTCTTTTTGTAATGTTTGTTTCAGATCAAACCGGAAGTATCGAAGGATGTCACGACAGTTGTGAAGGAGACTGGGTCATTAATCAATTCCTCTCTGGAATAAGTAACAATAAAGATTAAATATATTAGAGATCTGTCACTCAGGTTGTTGGTCTTATCATTAAACACACTTGTTGTTAAGCTGATATAATAGATAATAAGGCTTTGTAGAGTTTTATCGGCATGGCAATGAAATGTAGAAGAAGCCAACAGATATGACCAACATTCTTTAATATTGTCTGACACTTTTCAGTTGTGCAAACTTATGCAATGGAAAGCAATAAAACACAAATATTTATAGTAATAATAGTAGTAATAAAAGCAGTTGCATAACACGTTCAGGCTCCATGTAATTTTTCTGATAAGGATATATAGCTGATAAGCCTATACTTTGACCATTAAACAAGGTGACTGACCTGAAGGAAGTTTGCCCCTGCATGCTCTTCATATATAACAATAATGATGTCCAACACCTGTGCTATATTTACATAGAGGGTTTTAAACACGGTACGGTCATAGTTATATACAGGTGACCTGACCATTTTTACTTATTTTCTGGCTGTAAAATGATGAAAAGGGTGGACTAGGTGAAACATTTTTTATAAAAAGCCCTTAACATTCAGTATTTCCAGTTGTCCATGAGTCTAACTGTGCACTAACCATTTCAAGGGAAAAGCAACAAACTCATGATAAATCCAATCTTCGCTGACTAGATGGTAATAACAAGGTTACAAAGGAGTCAACATGGACAGCTGTCCAATGTTTCACTACTTCTTTCACATGATACGCACTGACATTAATGGATGAGGGGCACTATTTTAGTTACACCTTGTTTTCCCTGTTGGTTCACTCAGCAAGCAAACTAGTCATCAGGACCCCCTGCAGTTTGCTTATTGCCATGGAGTTGGAGATGAAGATGCCATCATGCACCTGCTTCAACAAACCCACTGTCATTTAGACACAGCAGACAGCACTGCGAGGATCATGTTTTTTGATTTCTCCGATGTATTTAACACAATTCTGCCTGACTTACTTTGTGAAAAAAACTCCACAAGACTTAGGTGGAGGCATCAACTATCACCTGGATCAACCACTGCCTGACAAACAGACAACAGTTTGTTAGACTGTAGGGTCAGAAGCACATCTTGGCTAATCGCTCTTCTCCATCTGGATATCTGACTAAGTTTGGTGATTGCCAGGAGACCGTTGACAGGAGACAGTACTTGTCTGACTGCCTTTTGCCAAGTGTAAAATTTGGAGGAGGGCAGACTATGGTATGGGTTTGTTTTTCAGGAGCTGGACTTGGCACATCTTGAATATTTTCTTCCAACATCAGCATGATCTCATCAATTAGGCTCTGTTCCAGTGGTAGGGTGAGCGAGAAGGTGAGTGTGATGGATCCTGCCTGCGTACGCGCCCACGGCCACGACCAACAAACTTCCTAGCAGACATGACGCTGAAACTGCTGTGGCTGCCAACCTTCTTTCGTTCTTTCTTTTTCTTTTTCTTTATTTTTTTTTTCTCGTTTTGGCAGGTGGTAAACAGCAGCTGGGTTAATACCATGATCAAAAAAATCTTCTATACAGCCCGGGCACCTCCGGGTGCATTGCTGCCCCCCTCAGGACACAGCCTTGTAACAGGCATTACGCTGCTCTGCATTATGCATAAGTTAGGCTATCATTGGACATAAGTTCTGGACTCGTTATGAATACTCTATGCATACGCCCAAAATTGAAAACAAAATACATAGAAAGTTCAGCGTATGCCAGTGTTTTAGAAGACTGGCTAAAGCGTCAAAGTGTGACGGGGGCTTTAGTTGCTGTAAAAGGAACTCTAATTTCTGTAGCATAAATTTATATTCAAAATTACAGTCTGATTGAAGCCCACTGGTTTGAAAGTAAACTGAGTATTACACAAATGAAAATATTTATTGAACAAGTAGCTTTAAAAGGGTTCTTCGGTCAAAGAGGCTCTTAGGTTGCTCTGCCTAGAGTCTTGTTTTCCCTTAGGGGTGGGCGGATCGATCCTAGGATTGATACTAACGATTCCAAGGCTGGTATTGATATTGAACAATATTTTTTTTAACATAATCAATACTTTTTATTTTCTCCCACACGCACTAACGGCAGCAGATTCACCAGTCACCCTGTCTGTGTCACAGCACTTTGCTGCTCCCCCCTCCCCTCTCATCAGCTCCTCAGACACCGGAGCTGAAAAAGATTATATGTTAATGCTGTAAATGAAACAATGGCAAGCTATAAGGCTTGTAAAAAGCTGGTTAAATGCAGTGGAAACACAAAAAGTTTATATAAGCACATGAAAAACATGAGCAAGAAAACGTAGATCTACAGAAACAGAGTAGTGGAAACTTCACTTATTGCCCCGACAGACCCTCGACCTGACAGAGGCGTTTCAGACCAAAGAGAATATCTAGGTAGATAAGAGTCATATTAACTTTCAAAGTAGATATTATATGTCATATGTTACTGGAACCCACTCAGAAACATGAGTTATCCTTTATTTATCCCACAAACAGACAAGAGCACACAATACAAACAAAATGACATAAGGATTGAAAGATAGATTAAAAGAACAGCACTAGACTGGTTTAAATCTTATCTATCTGATTGATTTCAGTTTCTTCACGTTAATGACAAATCTTCCTCATGCTCAAGGGTTACCTGTGGAGTACCACAGGGATCAGTGCTAGGACCAATTCTGTTTACTATATATATGCTCCCAATCAGTAGAATTATTAGACAGCTATGAGATTAATTTCTACTGTTATGCTGATACTTAGCTATATCTGTCTATAATCCAGATGCCCTAACCCATTACATAGACTACAGGCATGTCTTGAACACAAAACCTGGAGGACTCTTAACTTTCTGCTCCTGAATGCAGATAAAATAGAAGTTATAGTCTTTGGACCAGAGTCTTTGAAAAAGAAGCTGATTAGTCAGTCACTTCATTTGGATGGGATTAACTACACTTTGAGTCTGAGTAAGTTATATTTTGATGTGATGTGTTTGGTTTTATTTAAATTCTTTATCTTTGTTGAGTTTTGGTCCAAATTGTTGGAATTTAGGTAAAATCAAAGTGAGGACCATTTTTCCGATTTCACCATCACAATGAGGGCCCGTTTTTGTAAAGTGAGGACATATTTCTGGTCTTCATAAGGTATTTTGCTAATGGTTAGGTTAAGGGCTGAGGTGTCAATTGGGTTAATATGAGGTATGGATTAGTAATGGTTAGGTTTAGGGTTAGTTTTAGGGTTAGGCAGTGCTGAAAATGACTGAGTGTCAACAGACGGTCCTCATATCATATATATACATATATATATGATATGAGGACCATATATATATATTTATTTATTTATATATCCACATGCCTGGGTTTAATCTCTCTTTTTAGTAAATATCAGGCAACTCTACCTATAAATCTTAGGTTTCTCTTATGTCTTTGATAAATAATAACATAGCAATAACTCAAATGAGTGTATTTAAGCTTTAAAAACTGTAAGGTGAGTCCCTAAATGACTTTGGCACTATATAAATATACGTGGGTCTGCGTACGTGAGTAATTATATGAATGAGTTGGCACATTCATCACAAACAAAACAGGTTTCGTTTCGTTTGCACGAAACAGTTATGATACATTTGTCACGTACGCGACAGTTGGTTGTGTCTACGTCACTTGTGAGCGCGCCTGGGAAGCGGTTGCGCGCGACAGCTGACAGATTTGGCCCAGTTTCAGAACATCACACCGGTTGAAAGGAAGTATCTGGATCTAAGCGGAAAATCCCGGATTTTGTTGTTTTAAGATCTAAATTCTGTGTATAGTAGAGATCAGAGCAGACAGGAAAGGACCGGATGAGACCTGTGTGAGCAGAAACTCTTTAGGAAGCTCAAGGTTTTTAGGTTCCACTTCCAATCCGCTCGAACATCGTTGTTAGTTCGGACCTAAAATGTGCTCTGTATTAACAAGGGTAAGGCCCATTCACCGGGCTGTAGCCTTGACTCTTCGACTCGGAGCCAACACCGAGGGCTCGAGTTATGTGGCGACCCAGAGGAAGCGTTTCTCCCCCGGCGTGAGCTCTGCCGCGGCTAACGGCAGGTTTTACTGCTCCAGGGCGGCGAAGACCGAAGGACTGCTGTTCAGACAAGTAGGTCCAAATTATGTTAGCTTCTGTCATTCTATCAAAGGGGGAGAGTTCTGAAAATGTTTAACCTTCATGGTTGTAAGATAAAAGCTGCAGTAAATAGAGGCATTACTGCTAGCATTTGTGTTTATATTGTTAGCCTAATGTTCAAACAGAGCTAAGCTAGGCTGTAGATCTATATGTTTAGCACCATCATATACCCCCATCATCATGACGTTGCAGTTTATTTTATGGGTTTAAAAAAAAAAAAAATTCAATATATTAACACATTTTCCTGCTTACTGTAATTGACAGAATATCTTAGTCTGATCTTTTCTTTTTTTGTCAGTTATTTTTGGGCACAGATTGCTTTTGCATCTCCACAGACTTTCTCTTATGAGCACGAACAGAACGTGAAGAACTTGACCTATATTTACTGTCACAGCAAAGCAACGCCTCTTCTCACGTGTTTTCCCTCTTTAGCTATTTGAGGTGGAGAGCTGCACCTACACCTACCTGCTGGCAGACACCAACACCAAAGAGGCCATTATTATTGATCCTGTGCTGGAGACAATGGACAGGGATCTAACCCTGGTGAAGGAGCTGGGGCTCAATCTGATTTTTGCAGGTATCTTTGAGTGATTAATGCTCATTCCCACTAATTTTTTATTCTGGATTTGCAATCTGAAATCTCAGCCAAAAATATCTGGATGAAAATCACTCTTCATGATTGTGCTGTCACTTTGGTTATCTCTACAATCCACACAGAAGATGACACAATACATCAGGTTCACTACTTTGACAGTTAATGCCAATTTTCCTACCTCTAAACAAACAACTTTTGCACCAGCAAATTAAAAATGTTTTCTTTCATTTTCAGTCAAGTATTTTCAAGAATTAGATGGATATCTAATCATAAACATGCTCCAGTGCCATGTATTTATTTAACATACCTAGGGCTGCAGCTCAAGATCATTTTTCTAATCAATTAGTTTGTTGATCATTCTTAGAAAAAGGCTTAAAGAAGAGTTTTTACAGATTTAAACATAAACTGAAACCTTTCCAGTGGGGTAGTTCTGGATAGAGTATATTGACAAATGAATAAATATTCTTGATCTTAAATGCAAAATATGTATTTTTTTTTTTACAATTTTGATATAATGACTGCTCTAAGAGGGTTGCTCTTTCAGCTAAAGGCATATTTTAGAGTCCCACTCCAGTTACAGATTAATCGATTACTAAATTAGTTGTAGCTTTTTCCATAATTGATTAATCACAATTAATCCGATTAATTGTTTCAGCCCTAGACATACCTTAAAGATACATTATTTACTCAAAACCGTTTTTTCATTAATTTTGTTTTAGGCAGATGGATTACTTTTACAGCGATTAAGAACGTTTTCCGGAATCATGATTCCCATTCCCAGCCTGCAAACTCTTATTAAATATGAAGGATTCTGCCTCATGATCAAATCAAATAACTCCCTGAAGATATTATATATTGCAGTCACATGGCTATGTTTCAGTCAGAGATTATGATAGTATGATAACCTTGCAGAAAACTAGCAACTGGTCCCTTTATTATCACAAGGATTTCAAGTAAACCTGTATAACATAATGAAAAATATTTATTAAAAACCCTTAACAAAAAACCTATGAATTGCTCTGTCAAACTTATTTGTATTATTACTACCTGTAATTTTTAATAACCAATTAGATTTTATATATGGAAAAAGCTACTTTTAATAGTAGTTTTAAAATGCTTACTGTGCAGAAGATTATACACTTTTAGTGTTATGTTTTATAGAATAGGTTTAAACTTAAGAGGGACTTAAATAAACACTATAGACTTGATAGGAATACTAATTTTGCATTAAATAATATGCTAACAAAGAGAAATACTACTGTAGCAGCTAAAATCTTATTTTTAAGGCCAGTGGTTGCTTTCCTTCCTGGTATGCTTTGGCCTTACATGAGCTCGATCAAGAATATGTCAGTCTTCTTTGGAGTTATTCTTAAAGCCATTTTATGTTTCTATGTCCATTGTCTTTCCATTTCCATTTTGAACAAAATAGACCAACATAACTTTTAAGCACAGTAGAAAACTGTTTGCTTCTTCTCATTTACACCTGAATAGAATGACACTTCCTCCTTCCAACATAATCAAAACACAAAAGGAGATGCACCCCTAGGTGTAGATAAATACAGAATAAATAAGGTAAATGGGTCCTACATTTACCATGTAATTAAAATATTTACCATTGAAACCTATTTTTAGATGAGAGGACAGTAGAAACGGAAGCAGCTTGACATGAAATTAAGATCAGGACTGGAAACACAAACTGATAAAGGTAATGTTTGCACATCTTAGTGTCAATAAAGCAGAGTTTTATAGATGGTTTAAACGTGTTTTATCAGGCTGGTTCTCAACTGGTTGGTCTCTGACCAACTTTCTGAGCAGTAGTTATGTGACATTTCCACAGCATCCAGTAAACTTGCCTATGTGGATAAGTTCAACATCATTAAACAGAAATTTGAAATGTTAAATAGACTCCATTAATGCCCTTTATAATATGTGATTTGAAAGTTATGTAGAATCTATTAAGATCTCACAGGGTTTAGCAACAGGAGTATAACAAGCTGACACAAGCTGGATAATCAGTTGTGCTATCTTTTTAGGGAATTATCCTGTAGTCAGCAGCCTAATAGACACGCCACCCATGATTTTACAACAGCCTTATCTTAATGATAAAGAGGGATGGGGTTCTCTTTGCTTCCACATCAAGACTGTCCAATTTGTTGGTGGCAGGAATAGTATATTTAAATGAGAAATTTGTATTTCTTGCAAGTGAAGCAGACTTCTTTCAGCCAGCTGACAGGCAGTGTACAGGAACGAGTCATGTAGAGGCAACTTTTGTTCTATTTACCTGGTACTTTCTCTTTTGTCTTAATAAAGGAACTTTGAACTATAGGCCTGCCACGATAACCAGTATTGCTGGATAATAAATTGTCCTAAAACCTATTGAGATAAACAATAATATCGTTGTTTGGAGACCATTTTAAACTAATTATAATGTCATTATCAAGCAAGTATTAACTCTTAAAATACCAGAAACTGTTGAAGCAATGGACTTCCGAGTCTGTGTAAAAAAAACAAGCCCTTTAATAAAAATCAGACGAATTCGAAAACAATTTCTTGGAAATGACAAAAAATAAATTAAATACGTCGGGTATTTTCTGTAGACTAAATTGACCCTTAAAATATGAATCATTAGGCTCAGACATGGAAAACAGAAAAGGGGTGGTTTTATAGCCAAAAAAAAAAATGCAAGTTACCAACAAATGCACTTCGTTTAAATAAGAGCAGGTGCCTCAATTGGCCACATATACGAAGGTACGTTTTCCCAGGCAATGTTTTTGGATGGGTATCCGATCTTTGCAACAGTTTTCAAAATATCTGCAGTATTCAATGGTGTTAGAGGTGTTTTTGTAATTGTTTGTTGATTCAGCACCTATTGACTGCTATTGAGGACTAGCAACCTGGTCACCGGTCTCTCGGCCAATCCAGAGAGCAGTTCTCTCGATATGTTCCGCAGAGCAGGGACACTGCAGCTGTCCTCATTCTGAGGAACATACAGAGACATTTGTTTAGTTCGAATTCAGCAGCTGCCTCCTCCAAATGCAAGATTCGTCGGCCGATTACGACTTAGCACGGCGCTGAGGCCTGTTCTGATTGGAAGACTCCTTGTAATGCAGACGACAAATGCAGTCTTCTTTTTGCCGGTTTTGAAGAGTAGGTCCGGTGTATCCCACGTAGCCTTGGTTATTCCATGATTCATTACTAGTCAAAGCAGGCCAGCTGCTCCATGCTCAGAGGAATAAGGGAAATGGCACCGAACCATGGTGAATATTGTAAGTGCAGTGTAATATAATATAAGTATGTGAATAGTTCTGTCCTTTATCTGTCCTTGGGCAAATGGATTTGGCTGACATTTCAGCACATATTCCAATATCTCTGCAGTGTGGGGACTACAAGACAGTTATTCGCAGCAATGGTACTGCTGCTGAAGCTCCTTGAAAGTTAAATTAGCACACAGAACAATGGGAGAATTTTGGCATCCAGTTTGCCTGCTTTGTGTGTCAACTGTCACAGTTACTGGTGACCAAGCATACGGGCCTAGGAAGCCACAGAAGGGTGGATATGTTTAAATCCATAGCCAAAACTCTTCCGGCCTTCTTATTTTTATGGACCTTGAAGGACCCAGTCTAGATAGACCGGGTCCTTAGAGGCCGCAGCCGTTGAAATCAAACACACCCCCTGCACCTGGAATTTTAGTTCATTCCTCCAAACAATAATACCCCATATCACACTGGCCGAAAAAACAGAAAATCTGGGAGCAATCGGCTTTTAATGGCAGTGGGAACAGCTCACTTACGTGTGTCTAACTGGGTCAAGCGTCCTGTGTTAAAGTCGCCTCGGCTCTGATCGGCATGCAGTGGGAACACCAGACCCAAGTTGACCGCAACGTACAACGTACTTTAACACACCGTGCCAGTCATTTCTGATCTAACAAGCCGAAACCGTTCTGTGTACATTCGATAGATATGGCCCAGCACTGGTAAGAGGGATTCGGATGGATAAAAGACAAAAAATGCTATCTATGCTCTGGCTCCCATCCATGTTGCTCTCCATTATTTACTTCCCTGATTACCATCTCACTGTCGACATCATCGACGCTCACCCAGCCTGATGCCGTCATCAGACACACAGTGGTGGGGGACAGTTGTTTGGGAGAAGGGTGTCAGACTCAACTTTTCAGTCAAATGGGAAAAGAGCCAAATGCCCATTGTAAGCGGGTCAACCTGGTTTGGAAAAACTATGATTTTAATTGGGAAAGCGGCTTAAGAAATTGGGGGAAAAGTTTGTTGAGACAGAGTCAAACTTTTTGTCATCTACTCTTTATAGTAAAAGAAGAGGTAGACGCAAGGAAAACAAACAAGCAACAAGTATTGAGCTTGTGCACATTTATTATGCAATTGACTGATTTATTGTGGCAGGCTTTAGGAATGCTGAATGAAAGATTTAGTATACCTCTAACTTTTTAAAACCTCAATAAAACTACAAGTGATAACATGCCAGTGCTGTGAGTCATGATCATATTCTTATAGTGTAGACTAAGAATATTCCATCAATCTTGTACCACTAACTCTACCGTAACACTTAAGGGTAATTAAGATGCCAATCAAGGTGGATTCAACTTCACAGTCACAATTCTAGACTGTTAATTAGAGAGAAAAAGAGAAAATTCATGCATGCATGCATGGCGAGAACATGCAAACTCCATGCAGGAAATAACTAGATGGCATTCAATCACAGGGCCTCCTTGCTTCAAGGTAACAGTGCTACAAACCTAGACACCTTGCCACCCCAGTGAGATTTTTTTTTGCAAGTTATTTAAAATTCTACATTGTCAAAGGAGCTGGGAAATGTCCCCCAGGTGGGTATGGGTTTGTAGCTTAATCTGGATTAATCATACTGTGGGAGACATAGTTTCTTATCAAAAGAATTCTAGTGAAATACAAAAGATGGAAAAACCCAAACCTACCTAATGCTATATGTTAACCTGTATTTCATTTCATTTTTCTTTTCTTTTTTTCGTGGTAGTAAACACCCACTGCCATGCAGACCACATAACGAGCTCTGGGTTGATGAAGAAAAGAATTGCAGGATTGAAGAGTGCCATCTCTAAACACAGCGGCGCCTCTGCAGATATCCTGCTGTCGGAAGGCGACCGGATCCCCTTTGGAAAACATGTAATAAGGCTCTAAAAATTTTTACAACCATTTTATCTCCCTGTCCCACTGATTCTAGATTTTAGCTTGTCAGTATTACATTTTGTTGTTCGACCTTTTTATTGTGCCTGTTGCCATAAAATGTGAAATATTTCATTTTAACATGCTTGGTGTTGAATGGTTTCTCTTCTTTCTAGTACCTTATTGTGAAAGAAACACCAGGACACACAGATGGGTGCACAACTCTTGTATCAGGAGATGAAAGCATGGCTTTTACTGGAGACGCTCTGCTTATCCGAGGCTGCGGCAGAACAGACTTCCAGCAGGGTAGGTTCATGTCATGACACTTCCTTGTTCTTAATGGAACTATCACTGCATACTCTGAGTTTCCCAATCTTAGTCCTCGGGCATAACGTCCTGTGTTACTAAACCACCTGAATCAAGTTACTTCATCTTTGGAAGTTTTGAAGCAGCCTTTTAATGAACCATGAGTATTTATTAGGACATTTTGCTGGGAAAAGAGACTAAAATCTTTTCTTCATATAATGTATTTGAATAAAAACGGTTCAGTGCTGAGCTTTTATTTTTGTAATCTTTGTAAATATTATTATTGTGTGTTATTTGTGGAAACTTGAACATAAAATATTGGAAAATATTTGTTTATATTTCTGATATATGATAAATATTTTTGCCATTTTTTTATTCTATATTGCAGGTTGTGCAAAATGCCTTTATGATTCAGTCCACGACAAGATCTTCACACTGCCTGATGACTGCCTCGTATATCCAGCACACGACTATATAGGTTAGTTAGTTTTAAAACACATGTGCGGCGTTTATTATTATGCTAAATGAAAAATGAATTAGGATATATTTAGATACATATATAATCTTGGAATGTTTTTCATTTGCAATACCTTTTTTTTCTAGAATTGTTTTATGATGTCATTGAAAGGGATGATACATTTGGTTAAAATCCCCAAATTGCTAAGTGCTGTGTTCAAGCATGTAAATGGAAGTTGAGTGAAAGGAAAAATTGTTTGAGAAGTAAGTTCCTCGACAGTCTGCTCTGAGAAACTGAAATCATTTTTTTTTTCTTTTTATCTTCTTTAAGTTGTTTTTTGACAAAATCAACAGAAAAAAGACTTATAATAAAAATGTGTTTAACTGATCAATAAAATGTAGGTCAAGTTTTCAAATCTAATATTTTAAAAATGTTTTAATGTTTTTTAAAAATATTTTAAATCCTAATATTTTTAATGCTTGCCGTTCTAATTTGAGCTTGTTCCACAAAGATCACACCGAACTGTATGTTTTTTTTATGATCCAGGTCAGACCGTTTCCACAGTTGGTGAAGAACGCAAGTTTAACCCTCGCCTGACAAAGTCCAAGGATGAATTTGTGGATATTATGAACAGCTTGAATCTCCCAAAACCAGACAAAATAGGTACCAAAATAATCTTATTTAACAGTTAGACTATCACCTGTGTGTTAATAACAGGGTCTTGTACAAATAAAAAGTGCAATATTCACCTCACATCTTTACCTGGTCCTCTTCTGCTTTCTTTGCAGATATTTCGGTGCCTGCCAATCTAGTATGTGGACTACATGGACTCTGAATGCCTTATAGGAGAAGAACGTGTTTATAAAATCAGCAACTTAACCACAGAATGGTTCAGATTTAAATGTTTGTTTTAGCAAACTTGGCTGCAACAGCTTACCATAAGGTGCGTGTTATGTTTTGTGCAGCCACTTATGTAACTCTAAGTGTGCTTAAAATGCTTAAAAATGTGGTTAGATTTAATTATTGATTTGGTCTATACAGACATAACAGTTTTTGTGTGTGTCTTGAGTTAAAAGTGTGTTTTATTTACTCTGTGCAGCTGTAAGGTAATAAAAGTTTAAACTAAGGGTAATAAACACTTTACATTTTCAGTTAAGTGTTCTTATCGCCTTCCTGCATCTGGAACTTCTGTTTTGCCTATTAAATGATGCTTGACTCTTTCTTTAATAATATGTGTTATAAGATCAGCCAAACTGCTACCCGTCCCATCCAAAACTTTTAAGGATTGTGTTTATTACAAACGGATGTACGAAACCCTCTAATGGCCTTGGCTTTTCTATAGAAATTTCTCTAGTTACATTTCTGTCATATAGCTGGATTTAGAAAAGAAGGCCAATGACATTTACGGTAACTGTGGGGATGCTGGATTCTTTTTCACATTTTAACTGTTCTGCTTTCATTTCCTTTAATTGTAAACTGTTTGATAGTTTCAGAGGCCAGTATCAAAATAAAACATGTTCAAATGAAACCAAAATCTCAGTTGTTGTAATTACAATAAGCAAAGGTTGTACTGACAATAGGAAAACTTAATTGATAATTGTAGAAATTAAGAATACCCTTTTACAGTGATATACTGATATCATAATTATTTCAGTATTTGAATCACTCAAGGTTCAAAAAGTATATAGGCTAATTAAACAACCTTCAGTCAGAATCACTTGCAGTATTTGAAATAAAAAAAAATAAAAATTTTACTAAAAATTAGATTTACATGTTATTTTTGCAGCTTTAAATATCTTCTAAAATATTTTTATTTGATAGTTAAACACTTCGATCAGCAATTTAGGTTGAAGTCATTTAAATTTAGATTCCAGGCATCACAAACTTTAAACATGCTGTATCACAGTCATGTTTGAAAGAGTTGGGCTTTGAGCTCTTCCAGAGGCATACTGTTATTCTGCCTTAGAAGTTTCTAACAAAGTTTTGATTTTTGTTGGAGATCACTATGTTGCTGAAGTAGCCTAGATGGTCAAAACATTTTACAATCTTGCCTTTCCGTAGCAGCCAAGTTGAATCTAAGTTTACACTCATATTCATTAGTCTAGCCACTTTGGGCAGCCATCCAGTACAACTGGAACCTTGAAGCATGATTCTACTACCACCATGTTTTCAACCGTTACAAAATTCTTAGATTTAATTAAACTACTTTAATTTGCTCTGTTTTAACTACATTAGGTAGGTAAATATAATATAATAGAATTAAATTTTATTGTCATGACTGTCTCAAATACAAAGCAACAAAAAGCCCTTTACCTTGAGCTACTGGGTATTAATTCATCATCCTTTTATCAACATAGATGTTTGTTTTATATGTTTTCTTGTTTTAATGAAAGTGGAAGTCTATAGAGGTTCAGTGTCTGTCATTTTGCTTTATCTCTCTAAAGCACATTATGCAACAGCTGACTGAAAATCCAAATAAAGAATGATGTATTTTGCATAATTCTCTTTCTTTCTTGCCAAATTCCGCCATTTTTCCCCCTACTTGCTTTGATTCTGTTTTATTTTCCTATATTTTAATCATGTAAAGCACTTTGCATTGTCTTTGTACTCAATTGTGCTATACAAAAAAATTTGCCTTGCCTTGCCATAATGAAAGGGGGGAAAAACTTTGCATCCAAACACATGTTCTGGTTGCAAGTCAGTCTGCTGATGGCATCACATGTGTCTTAAACTTGCCTTCCTTTGTACATTTATCCACTGTATTTTCCCAGACAGACCACAATGTTCTGGTTATTTTAAATCATACAATTGACCATATTTTTTCGAAGGTGTTAAGAGCGATCTAAGGGGGTAAATGCACTTTATCACGAACAATAGTGCAATCAAACACTACATATCTGCCGTGCTTTAAAAAAAAAAAAATCAATATTAGTGATGTGTAATTAAACTGTCCAACTATTATTTGATATATTTCTTAACAGCTTCTAATCAATAACAGCTGCCTTTACAACCATAATGATTAAAAAAACAACATATTTCGCAAAGAACAAAAGGAGAGTAATAATGACCAAGCAGTTTTAAGGCATGTGTTTAGCCTTTGAAGATCACATAGCTCAGAGTACTTCGTGACGCTGGAGGTGGGCGTGGCTTAGCGGCTATATGTGAGCGGAACAACCACAGCCGGCTTCAGTTATTGGTTCCTAAATTGCTAAGGGTCTTACTGTTCATAGCGACGACTGCTGAGGTTGAGCTGCTCCAAGATGGCAAAGTCAGAGGCACCGATCTTCAGACAAGTATGTGAACATTTACTTTGTTTTCTAGGGAATGAATAATATCACATAATGGTTTACAGTCGGTTATATTTAGCCGGAAGCCGTATTTAGCCAGTAACATGCTACTGTAAGTACTACAAAAACCTTTTAATATTGTTTGTTTTGATTAGGTTTGATATCGGGACAGCTTCTTTCTCTATTACTGACACTCTTTACTGCGTTAGCACACATATGATTTGTGTAATAGCCAAAATAAAACCGGGGTTTAATTATGGCTATTACACAAATAGCCATAATAAAACCCCAGGGGCGGAGCTAGGTGGGGGGCCAGGGGTGTCCATGGCCACCCTTTACCTGTAATACAGACGGTGGCAGCAGTAATACTCTCAATTGGAATATTCAAAACATTTTAATCTTTCAGATAGGGCTGGGTAAAAAAATTGATTTAACCAATTTTGAATCGATTCCTTTAAATTTTTGCAAAATCGATGTCTAGGTAATGAGATTCATTAATTTTATAGTGAGTGAAGTTCACATTCAAATTAGCAGGAAAACATGCACTCAAGACATTAACAAATGGGGGCTGACCAGCAAACACCCTGTAATTGTTACAGACAACGCTACAAATATGGTGCAGTGGAGATAATGCAAGCTTATGCATGTCTGCTGTGTTGTGTTTTATGGGGTAAAGAGAAAATGATGTCACTGAAAGTCATCTAGGAGTCTTCAGTGAAATCATAGATAAATAACTGTTTTAATTAAAACAATCAATTTATGTATATATTAGTACTTGTAAATATCAATTTTATGCAGAATAATTGTTGATAAAAGTAAAAGTAGGTAAGTAATGACAAAGGAAGAGATGTTTGACCCAGAACTCAAACCTGAAAGAATTTTATCCTGTACCTTTTATCTAGAAAGCACAGATGTTTAAATATATGTGTCTATTTGGTAGCGAAAGTTGTAGGAAAGTACAGTTTGTCTTTATTTAGAAAATATGCATGTTGTGCTTGTTAATATTCCTGTTGCAATAGTGTAGATCAGGCATCCCCAAAGTCGGTCCTCAAGGGCCACTGTCCTGCAGGTTTTAGAGGTTTCCCTGCTCCAGCACAGCTGATTTACATTGATACTTGATTAACATCAGAATCAGCTGTGCTAAAGCAGAGAAACCTCTAAAACCAGCAGGACAGCGGCCCTCGAGGACCGACTTTGGGGACGCCTGGTGTAGATTGACCCTGAGGTTCTGGCGCCTATCCACTTTCAGCCACCCCTCAGTGTACATTGGTTATTACCTGGACCCCCTTATAAAAATGTTCTGGCTACGCCTCTGCTCTGTTTACTGTTTTCGCTCCATCACAATGACATTGCAGCTGACACAGCTGCAGGGTTTTCTAGTTAAAACTCATGAGCCCAGCATGAATGAATGAGCTGCTCATCTTTATACTGTAATAGCGGTTGCATCTAAAAACATATCAGTGAATTCATTTTAAAATTTCTGCTTATGTGCTCCTTTTAAATTTCATTTCTACTTATATGCTCTTTACTTATTACAAATAAGTAATTCTTATTACAAATGAGTAAAGAGTGAGCACAAATAGTTTAAGAAGTAAAACAGAGTACCAATGCAGAAACATAACTTAAAAGCATACACTTTGGTTTCTTTGGTTACTTTCTTCCTGATTGTAAAGTTTTCTTATTGTTTCTGTTTAAAAAAAAAAACATTGCCATTTAATGATGTGGAGAAAACATGATGTACCTTAGCTGCATGATGCTGACTGCTGATATGGCACTCCTGTTTTTCCTGTTTAGCTGTTTGAGTCACAGAGCTGCACCTACACCTACCTGCTTGCAGACAAAGCCTCCAAAGAAGCAGTCATTATCGATCCTGTGCTAGAAACCCTCGAAAGAGATGTGAAACTTGTGCAGGAGCTCGGACTCAATCTAAAAGTTGCAGGTATTTATGGAGATATAGATATGGATACATCGATTTTATTATTAATCGAATGTATCCACATCATCATCTTTAGGATATGTTAGCTCCATCGTTACTGTCTTATTGTTAATAGGTGATCTATTTTTTTAAGAATGCTGTTTTGCTTTGTTCATTCAAACAGTTAGCTTTGATATAGATATAATTGATTGTGTTGGATGGACATGAGATATCGGTGGCAGACTTGTAACTTGATTGAAAATCATATCAGACATCATATCACCATCCAAACAATACAATCCCTTATCTTTTAGCAGCTTGTGATTTACATCCCTATCACGCAAACTTGACAGGATTCTGATTTATGTCCTGGCATGACTTCAGAAACGGCACCGTATCTGTATTTTTTTATTTCTTTTATCTACATTTTCCACATCAAGGATCACTGTTATACATAAAACCTGAAATCTTTCCCATAAGCAACAGAGCTGTTTTCTAGCATATAGCAACGTGTAGTGGAGGAGCAGCACTGCAGTTACTTAAAGGTATAGTGAAGGATCTTTGCAAATTTTTGAAAAGACCCACCCTCTCCACTTTAAAATAGAAAAATGCACATGCACAACACACTATTAAAGAGTTGCTGCATCGCTCATACAAGCTTACTTTCCAAAAGAAGATTTTCAATTTTTTCACTATGTCAGACTCCGCACCAGTAAGTGAAAATGGGGACGAGCACGGCCTCATGTAAACATATCAGAATGTTAACAGTTAGGAGGACCACCTATTTTGATGATCCACTGGGAAATAGAAGATTCTCCACTATACCTTTAATGATCAATCAGCTGGAAAACACTGTTCATTAAAGTAGGGTGTAGAAGTTTAGGATTGGAATCATGATTTTTAAAATTATATTTCATTTTATAACACCACTTATTCAGATGGTAATAATTATTTGATAAAGTCAATCATCACTTTTGGAAAACCAATAAAGTAGATGATCCAGTTGGTTATAGGCTAAGGTAAATGTTTCACCACAAAGATGATTATCAGCATCTAATATTCATTAAAAATCAGCCTGTTAGACTTTTCTTCCTCAATAAAGTAATAAAGTATGCCACTTTTGTTTATTGGTAATAAATTATTTCTAATAACAGAACATAACAGAGGCCGCTGTATGTCTTGCTGTTTCTATGGTAGTGAACACCCACTGCCATGCGGACCACATAACCAGCACTGGGTTGATGAAGAAAAAAATCGCGGGGCTGCAGAGCGCCATCTCTAAACACAGCGGTGCTAAAGCAGACATTCAGCTGTCAGATGGGGAAAAGATCAC